GGAAGGAAGGAAGGAAGGAAGGAAGGAAGGAAGGAAGGAAGGAAGGAGAGAAAGGAAAGAAAGAAAGAAAGAAAGAAAGAAAGAAAAAAAGAAAGAAAGAAAGAAAGAAAGAAAGAAAGAAAGAAAGAAGATACAACCAAGAGGAGTAGATGGTAGATGGCTGGAAATAATCAAACTCAGGGCTAAAATCAATAAATTAAAAACAAAGAAAACAATTCAAAGAATTAAGGAAATGAAGAGCTAGTTCTTTAAGAAAATCAACAAGATAGACAAACCCTTAGCCAAACTAACTAAATGGCAGAGAGACACTATCCAAATCAACAAAATCAGAAATTAAAAAGTAGACATAACAATAGACACTGAGGAAATCCAAAGAATAATTCAGGCTTATTTCAAAAGCCAATACACCACAAATTTTAAAAATCTAAATGAAATGTACAATTTTTTGATAGATCCCACTTAGCAAAGTTAAATCAAGATCAGGTAAACAATTTAATTTGGGAACCCTGAAGAAATAGAAGCAGTCATCAAGGCATTTTGTGGTTGCTCCCCAAAGTGCCTTGGGAGCAAGCAAAAAAATGCTGTATGGGTTCAGCGCAGAATTCTACCAGACCTTCAAGGAAGAGCTAACTCCAATACTCTTCAAACTATTCCACAAAATTGAAATGGAAGGAACATTGCTAAACTTGTTCTATGAGGCCACAATCACCTTGATTCCTAAAAGACACAAAGACCCAACAAAGAGAATTTCAGACCAATTTCTCTTATGAACATTGGCCCAAAAATACTCAATAGAATACTCTCAAAACGAATCCAAGAACTCATCAAAGATATCATCCACCATGACCAAATAGGCTTCATCCCAGACATGCAGGGGTGGTTCAATATACTAAAATCCAGCAAATACACCATATAAACAAACTGAAATTAAAAAAAATGTGATCTTCTCCTAAGATGCCACACCATGAAGATGAGAATGTTGAAGAAAATAAGGAATTACTAGCCTATAACTAGGTAATCATTAGGGTTAGCTATTTTACGTAATTTCTTTTTTTCTTAATTGATGCTTTATTCACCTAACAAAGTAAAATAGCTAAAGAAAATATGTATATTTTTTTAAATTTATTTATTTTACATCCTGATTATAGCCCCTCTACTCTCCTCCAAGTCCCCTACACACACACACACACACACACACACACACACACACACACACACACCTTCTCCCCACTCCTTCTCCTTAGAGAAGGGGGAGGTCCCCCATGGGTATCAACCTGTCCTGGCACGTTAAGTCGCTGCAGAACTAAGTGCATCCTCACTAGTCTGAGTAGTTTCATCAAGCTTTGAGATGTAGGCCTATTGGTCTAGAGCCTAGTACTATCATGTAGGACAGGTAGATAGTGTCTCAAGTGTGGAAGCCTATATGAGGGCTACATAAATGGCAGGAATTATAGATTAGTTCATTTGAGTTATGAATAGCACTCCCAGGAGAGTTGGTCACTATCTCTCAGAAATTGACCATAGCTGGGAGGAGCAAGCAAGGCTGTAGGTCAGCAAGCATCCAAATGCAAACACATAAAAATACAAAGAGAAGTGGTTAATGTCTATGCAAAGTGGCATGTCAACTTCGGCTTAGAGATGTTAAATTGGAAAGACAACGCCACTGAAAACACACTTAGGTATTAGAAAATGAGCATCAGGAAGGTAAAAAATGTAAATGTAAATTATCACATCAACGGATGAAGAAATTTACTAATGGTTGAAATATGAAACCAGTTGGAGAAATTTTCAACTTAAATTTAAATAAAGTGGAACAGCAAAAACAAACAAAATACTTTATGTCATAATGTATCATAATATCCATGGAGATGCATTCACTGTGTTCTCACTTTTACCGATGAAGAGACTCTAGCTTACAGAGATTCAGAAGTTGCCCAGGGTGTGGTGGCACACCCCTCAACACCACAGTGTGGGAGGCAGAGGTGGGCAGATCCCCGTGAACTTGAGGCCAGCCTGCCCTACACAGTGAGTTCCAGAGCTACAGAGTGAGACCCTGTCTCCAACAGGAGAGAGAGATGAAGAGGCATTGCAATTCATACTTTAAATTCATACTGTCTTAAAATAAAACAATATGTGATGAAATGGATGGTCAAAGTAATACATAGTGAGCCCTTGGTGTGTGCAAAGAAATTTTTAAAAAGTTCGAAAATGATGTCTCCTATAATCTCAGCACTTGGGAAGCAGAAGCAAGAGGAGGGGGAGTTCAAAGCCAGCGCAATCTACATAGCAAGTTCCATCTCAGCATTGACTATTTTACTAGAATCTGTCTCAAAAATCAATAAAGAGAGAAAGATGATAACAGTGTCTGACCAGCATGAGTGCAGTGCTTTCCCTGAACAGCCACAGCTGTGTCACTTGAGAAAGTCTGAACCTGGACTCTAGACCTACTGTAGAACAGCATGCAACTTCAAAGACCATTTGGAAATTCTTAGGCATGTGAAAAATCTACTGAGTATAATGCACCTGCCTTTCAGCGGGATTTGAAGATCCAACCAGAGCAAGCAACACCTGAAACTGTGGTCCCGAACGAGGTACAAGAGAAGATTAAGGCTGGAGATGAAGCTTAAGAATTGTGCCTTAAGCTCTCAGAGTAATTAAAAGACACTAGGAAGGAAGCCAGACAAAAACAAAAGCAAGGGAACCTGAAACAAAATTGCCCTTACTCAAAAATCTGTATGAATGGTCATACCAGTGACTATACCTCAAAGTTAACTATCATTTTTTTATTCCTGAATTCTAGTCTCTGATATAATTCACAAAATCTGGAATTTTATAAGTCTCCAAATATCATATGCTTTGCTAGACTGGACTCATTGCGGAATATGCATTGTCTTCGATTCCTAAATCAATGAAAGCCAAAACTGCTGAAGGATAGTACAAAAAAAAAAATTTGGATGAATAAACTACAAATCCTTGGGCCCTCAAAGCCATTCAATAATACTTAACGTTGTCCTTGATTCCCACCTAACACCTGTGTTAAATCTCTAAACACAGCTTCTGGATGTACCATGTGTGACACCCCTAGAAACCTGAAAAATGCTCTTTGTAGAACGCAAACATGGAAAGATATCTAGGAATTGAGGCTGTAGAAGAATATTTGAAGAGCTGTTGAAGAGCAAGAGTCTCTGAAAGATGGACATAAAAGGACAGTTGGTCTGTACAGCTCTTAGCAAATACTTTTAAAAAGTAGTAGACTCTGTTAGCTCTAAAACTGTAAATTGAGAAAGCCATCATAGTGAAAGGTATTTGAGCTATACTTTAAAAAAATAAGTAGGTTTTTTTTTCCATAAGCAGAAAAAGCTTCAGAGCTACTAGAATGAAAGAGCAAAGTATTGGTGTGAAACTGAGGCCTGGCTTTCCTCCTATATAATAAACCCACAGTCAAAGCAAATTTACAACCACTTGCTTCTCTCTACACGAGAGGAAGAGCCAGGCAATATATCTTCTTTGTGCAGAGACCTTAAAGATCAGCTTTTAACCTAGAGTGGGTTTTTATGGCTGAGTTATAAACATCCAAGAACTAAGCCTGACAGTTTTTTAAGGATTGTCACAGCAGCAGACAACGCTTCAGTAATTTCAGCACATTTCAACTTCTGCTGAATACTGCGCCTTGAGCATGATAAGATTTGATTTTTATCTGTCTAAACAACACAAAAGGAAGAACAGAGGCTGAAATTGCATGATGAGTTGAGCCTATAGAGTCAGCCACCCTATCTGATCTGTGAAAGGTACTTTCTCAGTGAGATGCGTCAAAATCAACTAGCCATTCTGCAGGATAATTGCTCAACTCTTATTACACTTCCCTTACATCTGTGCAGGGATTATAGTTGCTTTAAAATGTCAACTATCATTTGCACAGTAATCTATAAGTATGTAAAGATTATGTGCAGTCACCTGCATTATAAGACCAAAGCCTCACAAAAAAAATCTCACGTGACTGGTCTAATGGGCCTTATTATTGTCAGTGAGATAATCCGATTTCCAACATTTTATTAGGACCTGATGTCGGTGTGTTAAAATCAAGCAATCAGGGCAATAGACAGGGCTATTGTGTAAGGACAAGCAATTCAGATGCTATTTCTCTCTTGGGTGTGAATGACCATATTTATGGTTTCAGATGCGTGATGTAATTGGAGCAGCAACAGCCAATCAGAACAACTTCCATATCTGCATGGACCATATCACTGCCTACATGAAAAAATACTCTATTCCTCAGAGTGTGCAGCATCGAGTTCGGACTTGGTTGGAATATACATGGAGCTCTCAAAGAATATTAGGTGAGCCTGAGAAACAGAGGTTTACACTCCTGTAACCTTATCACATAATAAAAAATTACATAAGATAAAAGAGAAGATCTTTGGGTTTAAATACCAGGTCGGAAACCAATACCTGATCTCTCAGGTATTAATTTAATATGAATGAGTTTTTCTTAAATATAGAGCCATATTCCAAGGGAAATCTTGGAAGGGAAGTGTTAAATTTTACTTGGTGCCTACACACACACACACACACACAAATTGGGGAAATTTGATGTCATTGACCCCTTCTCAGAGGCAAGGAAACAACAGAGGCTCTACTGCAAAATTTGACCAAGAACTCATAACTGGAACTGAGCCCTGAATCTGTTCTCCAAGCTCTTGTTATGTCTGTGACAGCCCCTCTCCCTGGGAGCCCAGTGTGCAGAGAAAAGCACAAGCTTTCAGGCCATTTTCATCTCACAGCACGGTTTGCAGTTAGTTCTAAGAGACCATTATGTAGCAACATTGTCTGCTCTGCAACAACAGCAGTGGAGCTCAAAAACAAGTTTTTGAGCATATAAAGTAAGTTATGGGCTAGCTGACAATAAATTCAATTTTTAGTTTTTCCTATAAAAATAAGAATTAATATATTACCAAGAAGGCAACAAAATGCCACATCCTTTGGTGAAAGAAAAAAAAAAAACCCACAAGATTCAAGATTCTGAAATCACAGTTTTTCCTAATAGAAAAAAGTGTCTTCTCTTCCTGGTTGTAGGAGTTGCCTTCAGCCATCTGCCACTGGTAAAAGACCACAGACTCTCAGAATACTCAGAGCACTGTGCCCTCTCTTTTTGGTATCTGTGGCCACTGGTGAGAGCAATTCTATTGAAAGAAACTGCAAAGAGCGGCTCCTCATAGCAGCTACAGATCCCGGTTCAGCTCTGGCTTAGTGGATCGCTAGAGACAAATAACCCTCAGGAAGAAGAAGCCGTGCTTTAAAGACTAACTTATTTCATTTGTACGTGTGAGGATCTGCATGCGTTTTATTGTTGTTGTTTTGGTTTGGTTTTGGTTTTTGGTTTTTTCACTGCATGCATGTTTTGTGCATGCAGAGGCTTAAAAATGGCATCAAATCCCCTACAACTGGAGTTACAGTTGGTTGTAAGCCGCTATCTGGGTACTGGGAACTGAACCCAGGTCCTCTGCAAAAGCAGCAAGTCCTCTTTACTGTTAATCCATCTCTCCAGCCCCCAAACTTTTTATATGAAAGATGGCTATGTTTATGATCTGTGTGTAATCAAATTAAGGGTATAGCATAACAATTGTTTCTTACTTGAGTAGATACAAGAAACCACCTTAAATAAAACTAAATATAGTGGCATATGAATGAAATTCCAGTACTTTGAAGACAGAGTCAAGTGAATCTCTGTGAGTTGAAGGATAGCTAGTCCACATTGCAAGTTCTGTGCCAGCCAGGGCTATTTAGTGAGACTCTGCCTCAAAGAGTGCAAATAACTATTTTAAAACAATGCCTAAGATAATGCAACTTCATGAACCCTGAGCATGCTTGACGTTAAGAATGAACACTTTTGTTTATGAAGTATTTTCTTAGTCTGAAGGTTCAACATTTAATTCATAAGTAGGAAAAAATTCATAATGCATTCAGATTCATTACTGAGTTAATAAACAAATAAATAACAATAATTTAAATATACTTGCTTGGCACATTTCTTCATTAGACTATATTCCCAGCTGAGATGCCCCTAATTATGCTTAAACTAGCAAGTCAGTTACGGCCTCTCTGAGCTTAAATTATTTTGCTCTTCTGTCTGCAAAGTAGAAATGTACTCCTGGTCTTAGTATTGTTATGAAGGTCAAATAAGATAATGGACATGAGATCCCTCCATCTGCCTTCAAACACCACCCACCACTCGACATCAGCTGCCATCTTTAGGCTGATGGGGCTGGCAGAAACAAGAACTAGATCCCTTTTCCATCTTGCCCTGTTCACTAACTTTTGTCTCATGGGCATTAAATTTAATATCTTGAAGTTTTAAAAAACAAGGTTCTGGAAATATTCACTGTGCCATTTATAGTTAGAATCCTTCTTTGCTCTCATGAGCAAAATAGCACCGTTGTGATGTATGAAGGGCTGGGTATGGTGGCATTGCCTATATTTCTGGCATTTGAGAAGCCCCAGTAGAGAAATTGCTGTTTGTTCAAAGCCAACCTGGGCTATACTGCAAGACCTCGTCTCTCAAAACAAGAGAGGGACACAACTGAAACTTCAGTGCAATAAAGATAGAAGAGGGGGCTCACCAGAACCTACTGGCCATCCAGCCTAGACAGTGAGTTCCAAAGTCAGGGAGAGCCTCTGTCTCAAAAGTCAGAATGGAGAGTAATCAAGGAAGACACCAGATGTGCACACACACACAGACACAGAGAAAGAGAGAGAGACACACACACAGCCTTGATGGTAAGTATGTAGATCTAATATTTATAATAAAGACACTGAGTTTTAGGATATATTTATTTATAAAACATTTGCATTTGTTGTCTTCATTTTCTAATTTTTTTTACTTACTCTATGGTGAATTGTTCTACTAATTATTCCACTGTGGGGTTGATATATTTATTTTTACAAAGATGAGTCCAAGTTGCTTAAGAACCTGCCAACAGCAATGCAGTTATCTCTTGCCATTGACACAAACTTCAGCATCATCAACAAAGTGGAGTTGTTCAAGGCAAGTACTTTTTATAATTAATAGAAAGATGCAACATCAACTTCTCCATAAAACTCTAAGTTCTCATTTTATTTGGAATTTCTGACTGTTTTCCTCATCTTTCCATTTTTTTTTCATTTACTAATTTACTTGTTGTGTGTGCATGTGGAAGGCTTCGAAGAACACACGTGTCAAGGTGTGTATGCGGGGATTGGAGGGAACTTTACAGAAGGTCTCAGAGGTCAACCTGAGGTGAACAGACTTGGCAGCAGGTGTCTATCCCTGCTGAGACATCTCCCTGACCCTGCCTTATGTTTTAACAAAATCAAACTAGCGTGGACAATTTACAAGAATCAAGAAAAGATTATGGGTCCATGCTCAACAGACAACTTGCTCTTTAGAAGCATCTCTCTTCTAATTAGTGTCAAGAAAGCAGATTTCTTCAGACCAGTTCTTCAGACTCCTCTTGCATAAATTTAAATTTAATTAAACTCCACTGTTGTATCTTTGCTGACACACACATTGCCTTCCATTTATGAATGTGCCTTGGTGAGGTATGATGAGTCAAGTTACCAGATCAGCTCTGCATCGGCCTACACATGCAGCAGTTACTAATGTTTTAGGCTTAGCTTTCTTTAAGGCAAAGTTTTGCAATATAGCATAGATCAGCCTAGAATCTGCACTAGTAAAAAGAAATCAACTTTAGTATGGTTTGAATGATGGTGTCATCATCCCAATTCATGGTGAAATTCAATTCATGTATTCAGAGATATGGCCAAGACTAGTGACTGAGTCATAAAAATTCTATCTTCTTACTATATGTCTTTTTCTAGGGAGACATGAATGTTAATTTACTTCACAAAGAACAATGATGACAAAATAATTCTGCCCAAGTATAGCTTAGTAAACCAGTGAATGTGTAGGATTTGCTCACAGAAGCATAGGTAAGGAGCTACCAATGAATAACTAAGTCATGACAGGAAAGCCCACCCAGCATCAGTGATGACTCACGAAACTGCATCTCTGAAGTTCCCAGATCAACTTGCAAGCTATTCCTCTTCCCCAGCAACTACTTACTGCTTAGAAAACCTTGCAAGTGGGTCTTGTGGAGCTGATAACTTTCTGAGCTTCCTATTTCTAGGTCTTTTAAAGTTCTGTGAGCTTCATAAGTTTCATTACATTCTTCTGAGTACCATCCTCACTCAAGGATAGACTGTCTGAATTAAGAGGAAATAGCTACACATCTCCTGAATATGAATGCACAAACAGACTAAAGTACGTTAGTTTGGAGTGATAAAACTCCTGCATGGAAATGTCATGTCAACAATTTGATTTTCAAATATTGTGTTCCTGGGAAAGGTTCAAGTTAGAGCAATAATTTAGACCTATCCATCCATATGTTGTGTTTTTTTAAGCCTTGGTATCAGTGTGAACACTGAATTCTAACAAAGACAGAAATATATATAATCCAGGAAGAAGCACATACCTTGAAATATATGATTACCACCATTGAAGTGAAGATGAAAAAACAGAAGTGTGTGATGCATTGTTAGGCAGAGTTCCTCCAAATCCTACATCAACCACTGAATGACTCTGGATGCTTCTAGAAGCAAGACAAATCCGAGTACTTTTGATCATGCTCTGATCTAAATGTCCACAAAGATTTTGGCAAAGTTATAAGAGGTGTGATAATATTATATTCATGTTGGCAGATGATACAAAGCAGGAAAGAATAATATTAATTGTGCTGAATATAAATTTTTAAATTAAACATTCTTAAACAATGAACAAAACTAAAATTAACAACTAGTAGGAAAGTAAACTATTTAAAAGAACGCTAGTTCTCTAAGAATTCTTTCTAGACCTAGGAACTTTGACTTAAAACTCTGTGTGAATAACAAAGTTATAGATGAGATTTCTCTAAATTTTTACCTAATATATGTTCTTATTACTTAACTTACATGAAGTGACATATCATGTTGTGAATAAGTTTTAAAGTGACACTGAATTTTAATATTTTTTTCCAGCTAACTAGGAGAGCAAGGATTTAGTAGTAGAACAACTGACCAAACAGAAATCTGATCAACAGTTGCTTCTAGAAGGGAGCTAGGAATGGAGATATTAAACAGGAATGTGTCTATAGTACACAGCACAATTCTGACACAGAAAGGCTATGACATCTCTCTCTCTCTCCCCATCGTATTTAAGCATATAAAATTGTTGTAGGAAAACTACTTAGAGTTGGTTCTATGTAAAATCTCAACGAATGCTACCGTAAGCAGCACAATTACTTTCTGGATCGGAATGGGATGGTTGTTGTTGACATAGCATCTCGCTATGTAACCCTTCTCGTCTGGAACTCCTCAATACATAGAACAGGCTAACCTTGAACTCACTGAGAATCAGGGGAGTGTTTCTTTTAATCTGTAAGTACTCTTTCTATGATGAATAGAAATGGACTCTGCAGTGTTGTGTAGAGATTTCCTCTGAGATAAAACATGTCATCTTAGAAGGAAAATCATTAAAACCCACGATGTTCTAAGAGGAGATGAAACATTGCATCCTTCAGGGTGACTCTTTATGGCACAGGATGTTCTAAATGATGGCTTCTCAATGCTCACAAAGTAAATAACTAAAAGGCTTCAGGAATTGTTTTAAATTGACCAAATGCTCTAGGCCCCTCATTCCTGAAGCTCATGTAGCAATCAGGACTGCTAAGAGCCATATCTCTAACCATCTGAGAAGTTTTCAAGACAATGAGACAAGCTGATCTGCCAAGAAAAGACAAAGCTTTTTGTCTTTGGCCTAGAAGGACTCTCTCCAACCTTTCCAGATGCCTGCAGCTATGCAGTATGCTTCAGGTTTCCAGGTTTCATGAGTTGTTGCTCATGCTGGGGTGGGCTTTGGTGATGCAGCTGCCTTTGGGCAGTTTCTGCTCCTGTAATTAACTCCCCTCACCCACATTCCTATAAACAACCCAAATAAAACTCGCCAAGTTCACCAGGTTGGACTTTGGTGGTATCGTGGTATCTGAACTGTGACGTTGGTTTCCTACCTGCTATGAGTGGATGTTAATTCATATCACCCAAGAATCATCCAGAAAAGTTAACACAATAGTAATTAATGCCACTGAATAATAAATTATCACATGGCTACCTTAAAGGAAGGTCCTTCATAATCCTTCACTTCCGACAACACTGACACCCTACACACTGGATTACCAAATCTTTGCACGCGCTCTAGCTGACATATCTGTGGAATGGGCTGTCAACAGAAACAACGAGTCACTACCCTGGATCCTAACTCAGAGACGTGTCTCCACGAAAATACCAGTAACTGCCACTTACAGCTTCCATGTGGCTCAGCATAGCAACTTCTTCATTCTTTCTCTCAGGAACTCTCCAGTTGTAGGCGGAATCATACTTCCTTGATTCGAAAGTTGAAGATTTGACCCCTTGGCCTCAGCAAATGATCACGTTTGGAGATAAGGCCTTTAAAGGTGTCTGTAATCCAGTGTAACTGCTTTTCTTAACAAGAAATGGAAGTTTGGAGCATACAGGAAGAACATCAGGGAGGAGTGAGTAGGACAGACCACTTGAGGACTCAGAGAAAAGGCAACCATCTACAAAACAGGGCAAGAGGGCACAGAAGATGCTAAACCTGCAGACAACATGATCACGAGCCTCTAGAGTACAGAAGTATCAAAAGAGGACTTTTTCTTCTTTAAACCACACAGTCTCTCATATTTTGTTATGGCAGCTATAGCAAAGTCATAAACTCGTGTGTGTGTGTGTGTGTGTGTGTGTGTGAATTTCCACCTCTTTATTTTTTCCTTTTTTAAATTTTAATTTATTACAATTTATTCACTTTGTATCCCCGCTGTAGCGCCCTCCTTCATTCCCTCCCAATTACATCCTCCCTCCCTCATATCCTCCCATGCCCCTCCCCAAGTCCACTGATAGGGAAGGTCCTCCTCTCCTTCCATCTGACCCTAGCCTATCAGGTCTCATCAGGACTGTATACATTGTCCTTCTCTGTGGCCTGTTAAGGCTGCCCACTCCTAACGGGGAGACAATCAAAGAGCCAGCCACTGAGTTCATGTCAGAGACAGTCACTCTTCCCCTTACTAGAAAACCCACTTGGAGAATGAGCTGTCATGGGCTACATCTGTGCAGGGGTTCTAGGTTATTTCCATGCATGGTCCTTCATTGGAGTATCAGTCTCAGAAAAAGACCCCTGGGACCAGATTTTTTTAGTTTTGTTGCTCTCCTTGTGGAGCTCCTGTCCCCTCCAGGTCTTTCTATCTCCCCTTTTTCTTTCAGAAGATTCCCTGAACTCTGCCCAAAGTTTGGCTATAAGTCTCAGCATCAGCTTTAATACCCTGCTGGGTAGTCTTTCAGAGGCCCTCTGTGTTACCTTCCTGTCCTGTTCCCTGTTATTGAAAATAGATTCTTTCCTATTACAATATATCCTGATTATACATTTTTCTCTCTCAACTCCTCTGAGTTCCTCTGTATCTACTCCCTACCTATCCTACACTCCAGATCCACTCCCTCTCTGTTTGTCGTTAGAAAAGAATAGGCTTCTAAGAGGTAGCAATCAGACATGCCAAAATAAAATGCTATTAAGATGAGGCAAAAACTTTCATATCAAAGTTAGATATAGCAACCCAACAAGGGAAAAAGAGTCCAAGACCAGGAAACAGAGCCAGAGACCCACCCATTCTAATAGTTAGGACTCTCATAAAAAAATACTAAGCTAATAGCTATATTATATACACAGAAGACATGATGTATACACATGTAGGCTCTGTGTTTGATACTTCAGTTCTGTGAGCTTATATGTGCCTTGCTTATTTGATTCAAAGGGCCATGTTTTCCTTGTGTCCCATCCCTTCTGACCCCCATAAGCTCTGTGTCACCATTGACCTCATATATTTTGCAGGCAGGACAAACTGTAAATCAAAATTTTTGTGCCTAGGTTGATATCCAGTATTCTCTTCAGTAGTCTGTAGAATACCT